ATAGTTAACTATTTGATATTTATTGTAAACCTTTAATGCTCTATGTACGTTGCTACAACAACACTTTGTTTTGTTTGTGTCATGAATCGTAGTTGAGATGGCAAGTAAAACAAAAGCTTGGAACAGTATTGTATTATTGTCTGTACTATTGTTTTCAAACAACTCCATGTCAATGATATAAAACTGCTCTCTTATATGATGTTAGGGCTCTCTCTATATTCTACTGTACTACATAGTCTAGGGTCAATCAACATATCTTTCTTGGTTTTGTTATACCACCTTGTTTCTAGTTTTGTTCATTGCCTTCTTCCAGACAGGTAGAGTGTAATCCAAATGAACGTCAAGCTATTTCATAGCAGTGATCTGACTGAGACTAAGGACAAAGGCATAAAGCAGCAGCTATTAATTAGGAAGCTAAATTCAAGAAGATAGAATCTACTTGCAGAAAAAAAGAAAATACTTGGTATAGAGATGATTTCAAGTAATTATATATTGATCCTATTTTCAGTATTGAAATGGAATGCTAACATAGCCTTTCATTGCACATGGGTTTTTTTTTTTTGCATCTAAAACCAAAATAGAAATGGATAGGATAGGATAGGATAGGATAGGAAAGTGGGGTGCTGGGTTTCTATAGAAGCCCTTAATTTTGAATGTGGTAGATTATGGCTCATAACACTAATAAACAAAAATGGTGTCGAGGAACAGTTTGATCACAATATGGATTTTTGGAGATTGGGTTTACATGAACATATTTTTGTTTCTTCCACCATAAATAAATAGAATGCAAAACTAGCAATGCAGAAGTTTACAATTAGCACAAGTTAATTTAATTTGCTTTGGCAGTTCTCAGAGTTCATTAGGAAACAGTTTTATAAGGATTTTGGGATACTAATTAGAAATGGTTTCATCAGGCTTTTTGGAGACAATTTTAATAAGAGTATGTTATTTTTTTTCTCTCAGTGTTTTACATATGTTACAACCAGATATATACTGATACAGAGGACTGGAAAAGAGCTGACAGAGGATTGGAAAAGAGCTGATGTAGTTCCCATCTTCAAAAAAGGAAAAAAAAAAATGGATCCAGGATATTACAGACCTATCAGCCTGCCCTCAATACCTGGGAAGATTCTGGAAAAGATAAACAACGAATCAGCGAACACCTAGAGGCAAACAAAGTCATTACTAAAAGCCAACATGGTTTTGTCAAAAACAGACCATGCCAGACAAATCTTATTGCATTCTTTGACCAAGTGACAAAATTAGTGGATCAGAGGAATGCTGTGGATATAATTTACTTGGCCTTCAGTAAGGCATTTGATAAAGTAGATCACAACCTACTACTTGATAAGATAGAAAAATGTGGGTTAGACAGCATCACCACTAGTTGGCTGACCGGCTGTACTCAGCGTGTGGTTCTCAATGGAACTGCATTTACATGGAGAGAAGTGTGTAGTGGGGTACCCAGGGCTCTGTTCTGGGCCCAGTGCTCTTCAAAATCTTCATCAATGATTTGGATGAGGGGATAGATGGGGAACTCATCAAATTTGCAAATGACACTAAGCTGGCAGGAATAACCGACACTCTAGAAGATAGGCTTAAGATACAGAAGGAGCTTGACAGACTTGAACATTGGGCGCTATCTAACAAAATGAAATTCAATGGTAAAAAAAGTAAGATTCTACATTTTGGCAAGAAAAACCAAATGCACAAGTATAGGCTAGGCCAGTGATGATGAACCTTTTAGAAACTGAGTGCCCCAACCCCCCCCCCACCTCCCCATCCACCCCCGCTCTGTGGCCCACACACCTGCATGGCCACCCACTGCCTCCACAGCCCACTACAGATCGCCCAGGCAGCCCAGCAGAGCCATGGCGGCCATGGCCTCCGCCCATGCCCCGCAGCATCATCTGCGTGTGACAGGGTGCGAGGGCAGAGTCTTGTCCCTGCTGCCTGGCTGCCATGCCCTTGGCTGTGCTGCTTTATGTGGACTCTGCTCGGGGCAACTCTCCTCTGGGGGAGCTGCTGTTAGGAGAGGGGGACATGGGGGGAGGCAGGGCTGGGGCGATGGTGCATGTGCCCATAGAGAGGGCTCTGAGTGCCGCCTCTGGCACGCGTGCCATAGGTTCGCCACCATTGGGTTAGGTGGTACCTTGCTCAATAGTAGCAACTGTGAGAGAGATCTTGGAGTCCTAGTGGATAATATGAGCCAGCATTGTGCTGCAGCTGCCAAAAAAGCCAACACAGTGCTAGGCTGCATTAACAGAGGGATAGAATCAAGATCATGTGAAGTATTAATACCACTTTACAGTGCCTTGGTAAGGCCATACTTGGAATACTGCATCCAGTTTTGGTCACCATAATGTAAAAAAGATGTTGAGACTCTAGAAAGAGTACAGAGAAGAGCAACAAAGATGATTAGGGGACTGGAGGCTAAAGCATATAAGGAACGGTTGCTGGAATTGGGTATGTCTAGTTTAATGAATGTCTAGTCCTCCAGTCCTCTCAATTCCTGGCAAATAGATGGGGAAGAAATGGAGGTAGTGACAGATTTTATTTTTCTGGGCTCCGAGATCACCTCAGGTGGGGACTGCAGCCAAGAAATTAAAAGACGCTTGCTCCTGGGGAGGAAAGCTATGGCAAATCTAGACAGCATACTAAAAAGCAGAGAAATCACCCTGCCAACAAAAGTGCGTATAGTCCAGGCCATGGTTTTCCCAGTTGCAATGTATGGCTGTGAAAGTTGGACCATAAGAAAGGCTGAGCGCCAAAGAATTGAGGCCTTTGAACTATGGTGTTGGAGAAGACTCCTGCGAGTCCCTTAGACTGCAAGGCATTCAAATTGGTCAGTCCTAGAGGAGATCAACCCCGACTGCTCTTTAGAAGGCCAGATCCTGAAGTTGAAACTCAAATACTTTGGCCACCTAATGAGAAGGAAAGACTCACTGGAGAAGGGCCTGATGCTGGGAAAAATTGAGGGCAATAGAAGAAAGGGACGACCGAGAATGAGATGGCTGGATGGAGTCACTGAAGCAGTAGGTGTGAACTTAAATGGACTCCAGAAGATGGTAGAGGACAGGAAGACCTGGAGGAACATTGTCCATGGGGTCGCGATGGGTCGGACACGACTTTGCAATTAACAACAACAACAACTTTAATGAAGAAAAGGATGAGGGGTGACATGATAGCAGTGTTTCAATATCTCAGGGGCTGCCACAAAGAAGAGGGAGTCAAGCTATTCTCCAGGTCAGGCAAGAAGCAGCGGATGGAAACTAACCAAAGAGAGAAGCAACCTAGAACTAAGGAGTTAGAACAATTAATCAGTGGAACAACCTGCCTTTAGAAGCCGTGAATGCTCCAACAATGGAAGTTTTAAAGAAGAGACTGGACAGCCATTTATCTGAAATGGTATAGGGCAGGGTTTTTCAATCTTTTCACCAATTGTGCCACTTTTAGGATATGGCAGTATTCAAGTACCACTAGTCACCTAGCAAAGTGTCAAAAACTTGATGACCAAAAAAAAAAAGGAACAAAGTGATAACGTAAAGGTCCTCAACTTACAACAGTTTGCTCAGTAACTGTTCAAATTTACAATGGCACTGAAAAAAGTGACTTATGACCATTTTTCACACTTATGACCGTTGCAGCATCCCCAGGGTCACGTGATTTACATTCGGATGTTTGGCAACTGATTCATATTTCTAATGGTCACATGTTCCAGGGTCCTGTGATCCCCTTTTGCAACCTTTTGACAAGTGAAGTCAATGGCTGGGGGCACTTGTGAGGGGGTGGGCAGGGCTGGGGGGGATCCAGGGGTCTCCAGCGGAGGGGGGATGGGACTGGAGTGGGCACCAGGGCATGGTCCATGAGAGGAGCCTCACCATCCCTCTTGGGCTATGCTGGCAGAGGGCAAGCCCAGCCCAGCCCTTGAGCTCCTGGAGCACCAGAATCCTGCAACTCAACCCAGTCCAGTCCCACATTCCTGAGGGGGTGCTGCCTGCACTTACCTCCTCCTCGAGGCTGCTGCTGCTGTGCTCTCTCTCCTTGGCCAGGTTGCTCATGTTGGGTGCACCCTTTCCCAGCTTCCTTCCTTCCTTCCTTCCTTCCTTCCTTCCTTCCTTCCTCCCTCCCTTCTTCCCTCCCTCCCCTGCTCCTCTTTCCTTCCTCCATGCTCAGGAAGAGATGACGGGAGGAGAGAGATTGCCAGCGTTGCTGGTGACCATGCTGCCACCAGCTGTCACTGTCCCACACAGGCAGGGGTGGTCCTGGTGAAAGGAAAGCCTGGTGGCTGCGAGGCTAGGTCAGGAGTGGTGTGGTGCTGATTTATTGGTGGAGTCCATCAAAGCCAGAACGCGCTCAGCCTTAGATCCATGGGGCAGCCCTGGAGCAAGTAAGGCTCCCCCGCCATCTCTGCCCCACCACCTAGGGGTATATGAAGAAGGCAGTGAGCGTTTAAATGCTGGCATCCTGAGGGAAAAGGAAGTGCTTCGCTTACCTTCTTTCTCAGTGGTCCGTAAAGATGATCAGCAGGGATGCTGGGCGATTGCCGCCTCCTCTTCACACATCCAGGGGGCAGGGAGGGGGCAGCCCCTTGCCCGCCAAAACCTCCTTTTATATCCTCTCCTCTCCCCCTCCTCCTTTTCTGTTCAGTGAACCTCCAGCTCCCAGAAGCGCCAATCAGCTGGAGCCCGGCGCTTCTGCTGAGCCCCGACAGCCCTGTAGCTCCAGCTGTCTCCCCCTTAGGCTTGTGCGGTGCTGCTGCCGCTTCAGCTCATTCCTCTCTGCCTCGCTACCACTTCTCTAGGATGGTTGCATACTACTTGCCAGGTGCCAAAGTACCACTGGTGATACATGTACCACTGGTTGAAAAGCCCTGGTAGGGTTTCCTGCCTGAGCAGAGGGTTAGACTAGATGACCCCCAAGGTCTCTTCCAACATTATTATTATTATTATTAAAAACAAAAAAGGTATATTGTGCATAATAAGACATAGACAAATGTGTTATTTTAAACAAAAAAATCACATTTTATTTAGAATATTGATATACCAAAATAAAATTAAAATTAAAAACTCTCCCTTTATGTAATGAAACATCCATATTTGAAAATGGCAAAATAAAGCTATTCCTAATCATTATAGATACTTTACAGACAACTTTAATCTGAACATACATCTGATTCAAACTTTAAGACACTGAAGAGCGAAATAGCTCTGGAGAATGAAGACAGGTTGAAAAGCCTGCAATCCCATGCTGGGAACCAGTAGGGCACTATAAGAATGATATGGTGTAAATGGTCTCATTTTGGCTAGACAGTGAGACTCTAAAAAAAAAAAAAATGCTTGGCAGGTTACTTAGACTGCTGTTCACACATAGAGACTAGTAATTCTCTGGGGAAATGATGTGAGGACTCACCCAAGCTTGGGTGTTGGCGTGCATTTGCTGGTGTCCTATTAAACAGATGAGATGATCAAATCATACGACTTTCTTGAGCAAGATCCCTGAAGCAATGGAAATGATTGGCATTGGGGGAGAGAGCATGGCATCTCCTATTGCTCAAGAAAAACTTTAGCTGCTTTGATTCAACATAAGAGTGTTTATGGTGCAATAACTGCAGTGGATGGAAAGGACTTCTTAGGAATCCTTCCCCCCTTTTGACAAAGCTGATATACTTTAACTGAGATTATGTAACTCAGTTGCAATTGCTGTTAAAAGTACAAAGTACTGTACTTTTCACAAGGCAGTTCACTTCAGTTCATCTGCAGAACAAAGCACTGAAAAGTTGAATGGGCAGTTAATAAAATTCATTCTTGGTTTGCACAACACGCTGAAGCCCAATATCATTTGTTGGGCTATGGCCGATTATATAGCCTGAATCAGCCATTCTGGATGGTGGCTTTGCATGTTATGTGAGCCTAGCCAATTGTGGTTTATTTAAAAAAATAACTATGGTTAAGCAAATCATAGTGAGATTCTTATCCCAGCCCCTATGATGAATTCAATTGTGAAATTTCAATATGAAGAACCTTTCCCCACAGCTAGGGGATGGGGGAAGGTTCTAGGGCAGGGGTAGGCAACCTTGACTCTTTTATGACTCATGGACTTTAACTCCCAAAATTCCTGAGCCAGCCATGCTGGGTCAGGAATTCTGGGAGTTGAAGTCCATGAGTCATAAAAGAGCCAAGGTTGCTTATCCCTGTTCTAGGCATTAGAGACTCCTGCTTGCTCATTAATGATGTATGCTCTGTGAAAAAAATAGACCCCATCCCTGCCTGCTATATCTTTTCTTCCCAAGGGATACTAGTTTGAACTATGATCCTCATCAGCATTTAATGATATCCTCCTCAATCATGACCTATCTACATATATAAAAATAGAAAATAGAGTGCCTATATTCACTGTGCAAGAAACTGTTTAAAAGGTGGATAGTAAAAAAATCAGATTATAGATTCACTTTTCATTTTTGTTTACTAACACACTCTTTTTACAGGCTTACTCAAAACTAGCAATTTCAGGGCCATTTTAACCAAACTGACACATGTTGCTTTTTTCTTCAAAAGGGAAATCATTGTTTTCATAAAAATAAAACTATTATGCTGAAAACTAGAATGAATGTTTTTTTTAAACCTTTTCACAGGGAATAGAATGACAGCAGGAAGAAATTGGCAATGTTTAACCCAATGCATTAAATTAGTAATAAATTTCCAAATGAAGGCTTTCAGTAGCATTTGATCATGAGCTGTTGAATTAAGAAAACAAAGGGTGGAAAAAATATTTCTTCCTCAATTTCAAGGAATTCTGAATAATAATTTCTTACAATTGTATTCCCCTGCAAAGGAGGATGGAGTAGTAGACCCTGAAGTGTCCTATGGCATCCTTCTGATGGATCTATACGTGTCAGAACTCACAAGAAAATATAACATTTGGGAATTTCACCTGGTGAATATCTAAATATCAGATACAATGCCCTTCAGGGTATGCTTCCAGGCTATTATGTTAAGTGTCATGTGGTATAGAAAATTATTAAATTTATTATGGGAAATTGAGGAAATTGCTTAGTGAGTCAAGCCTATGCTTTTCTCTTAGATGATTATATTTGAAATTCTTCTTTGAAAGAAGCTGACCCTAAGCAAGAAGAAAAGCTCCTAGACAGTTTACGATGGAGAGAAACTTACAACTGTTGGCAAACACAGAGCAAGAAAATTACTTTCTAAGATGTGTAAGTGGCTGGTATGCAAACTGACCATCAGTGATAAATAACTGAGAGAAATTTTAGCAGGACTGATGTATGAGTCAGAGTGCTAAAGTGTGGACATGGTTGGGTCTACCCCAACTTATTGGGGAATAAGCCCCCTTGAACTAAGGACTTGTTTTTGAATCAACATGATATGACTGCATGGTTAGCCTTGCAAACTATTCAGTCTTCCATCCTCCAGAAATACCAAATCTTAAGATATATTTCTGCATGGAAGATTCTTCAAGGCAATGCAGACAGTCATGTTCATGCGGTTACTGATGCACCTTTAGATGACCTCTTTTTAACCACACTACTCTCTCTATATTTGTGAGTCGCCCGTTTCTATATCAGCTCAACCAACACAGACAAATCCACTGACAGCATGCTTACGCATGACTCAGTCTTTCTAGATTTAGACTATATAAGGTGGTTGCTTAGCCTGAGACTGAATGAATGAATTCACATGACAATGAAGAACTTGCCTCAGTATAATCTATATTCTAAAAATGGGACCATCAGCACTGAATCGTGTATATTCCAGATAAGCTAGCTGGCATATGTTTAGGTCATTTGCAGAATCTGTAGCTTCTTAGGTCTAAAGAATAGATCATGCAAGTATATCTAACTTGTTCACTATATTTTGGTGACCTAAAGGGTTAAAGCAAGAGATTCTGTCGATGGGCACCAATTAAGAAAATTACAAATAACTCAGAAAATGTTATAATCTGTTTATGGAACTTCAGGAATCAAGGTTTCCAATTAGCTTTCCAATAAGGAAAAATATTTTGCAGATTTTGCAATAATTTAATCCAATTACTAAATAGTAACTTAGCTGAATTTATTCTTATAAGAATATCAAAGGTGATAAATGTTAGGCCATTGTGCATTGCAGTATATTTGCAAAGATATGCAAATTGCTCATTTACAAATACAGTAAAAGAAAATAGGTACCAGCTAATTATTGCCTCACACGTTTTCAGAGCCAGTTATTTGAATGGGAGAATTGGAATATAAATATTTTAGTTCTGGACAGAATATGCTATTCTGGAGAAAAGATGCCTGTCTTCTTCTGGTTTATTTTATAAATGTTCATCTTATAACTGCTATTATTATTATAACAGTGCAATATCATTTTTTTTTCATTTTTCTTTCTAATAATAATAAACTAACTTCCACTTTCAAAAATAAATCACAATAAGGCTGGAATGCTCTATTTGGAGTTCTGTGACATTGTGCATTTGAACAACTATCTCAGAACTGCCCTGTCAAAGCATTCTCACAAGTCATACAAAGAAAGAAACTAAATGGTTGCTTATCACTATTATTAATACTAGAATAAAACAGGAAAAAAACTTATAAATCAATATGCTTCACTGATGTAGTCCATTCCTTTGGTTATATGGAGCAAAAATAATAAAATTCTTAGCATCCCTTGTGAAATACTATTTTTTTTTAAAGTAAATTTTTCATGAATGAGTAGATCAGCTTATAATGAAATACTTAAAAGAGGCATGAAAGATACATATGGTAAGGGCACAGCTGCAAATTACCAACTACTATTTCCCACAATTTCCCCACATTTTAGATTTGTTTCAAATATTTGTTGTGGGAGCAGAAAGCAAAGGAAGGCTTACTGTGGAATATAATTAAATATTGTCCCCCAACCCCAAAAAACATTGTCTACATTTTAATTTAATGCCCATGTACCTTATAAGTCCTATAATTTACTATTATTTCTTTATGTTCTACTTAATATATTTTGTTATTCTTGTAGTGTATAACATTGTCAGAACATCAATAATTTAAATGACACAGCTACAAACTTTTTTCAGTTTTTCACAGTTATGATTAAGCCCTAGAGAGCTTCTCAATCCCACAGCCCCCCAATCTTAAATACAATTCACATACAGTAATATCGAATGTAGCAGTTTTCCTGGACATCATGAAACACTGAAAGCCCTTTATGTCTAACAGGGTTATTATATTGAGACCTGAATGACAGACAGCACAGCTGAAGCTAAATCAAGATGGAAGTACTATGTATTGTACAATCTGAGGTTAAAGCAAGAACATTGACAACATTTTCCATTAGAAAAAAAAAAGTGACTGCCTGGCCCCATTAATTTTTTGGGACAAATCATGTAAGGATTATATATGTAGTTACATGTATGTTTGATTCCATACGTAGAACAGCAGCTTTCAATTGTTCCTCTAGTTCTAATAGTTGAAAGAATCAAACATAGAAATGAGAAAATATGCTAATACACTTGTAACATTAAATTTACATACTTGTTTCTCTGAAGTATTAGGAATGTTATATATTTTATTTGGCTTTGTAAGGACTGAAATCTTACAGTTAATACAATCTACTTTTTCTTTGTAGAAAATATGGCTCTTTTCAGCTATTTCTCTGAGGTTCAGAGTGGCATCTTTTTATCTGCAGCTGACTGAAGAACCAGATGTCTTTTTAAGCAATCAAGGATGCTACAGTATAGTTTTCCTATGGATCTTTTTTAAAAAAAGTGAGCATGAAGTTTTTCTATACATTAATTTGTTGCAGCATAATCACTCTATTTAGGATTTGCCCTCTTCAAAGCTTGCAATAGGATTGCATGGTCTGCCTTCTAGAGTAGTATCTCTAACTGACCACAGGAGGGCACTTTAAACATCTTTGCATTGCTTGTGAAGCAAATACAGAAGCACAGTGTTAGCTAAAGTCATATACAGTCTGTAAAATACCATTTAAAGTTGAAGATATCTATTCTTTGAAGTTCATAAAAATATAAAATATGTACCATACCACAGTATTTGTTTCCTGATCTATCTAATGCTAATATATCTCCAAAGCTAATTTTTGCTTGTCTTTGTACCTCTCATTCCAATTGCACTTAATGCTGTATGTTCGGGCTTTATCATCTTAGAACAGCTTCTATTTTCTTCTCCCTATGATGGTTCCGCCTCAGTTATTGGAGTCTTAAGACTTGTTTGGTAGGAGCAGCAATTTGCACACACCGCTGAAAATTGTACCTGTTTATGATCTATGGTAAAGAAATTACAAGTTCTCTTAACAAACTTGTGGTCATGAGCTGTGAGCCATCACAGGAATCATCAGGAAAAAAGAGAAGACATGATACTTTGTTCCAAAACCCAGTTCTACTGTAACATTTGCATTCCCTTATTTCAAATAATTCTAGAAATAACTTTGGATAAAGTGATTCAGAGGACATATACCAACTAATTGAAGAATGAACAATCATACTTTAAGATATCCTCTGGATCTGAAACAGTGGGACAGAATCGGTCCTTACAGCACAGTAGCTGAAAAGCTCTCTGCAAATTGGCTTGTTGTGAAAGACCATTTCCTATCCCTTCCCCCCCCCTTCTCCTGCTCTCCTTTATCAATAGTTCCAGCAAATAGATTGACTCAACATTAAGCTATTCTTGGTCGTGTTTTGGACTGAAAATACACTTGAATCAATGCCTTCTAATGCATTTCTGAAGGAAGTATTCAATTCTCTGATTATCCCAATTCTAAATCTTTAATTTAACTGACATACCAGATCCCCTGACAGCATAATACAGAATATATATGAACACAGGTACCCATGCTCTCTCGTGCACCCATAGTTACCATTTTTTCATGTAGTGCTTCAGTAGAATGTAAATGGCTGCCCTAATAAGAGCTTTGATAGGAACCTTTAATTTTTATAATTTGGCTTCCTAGAGTGCAACCCTTTCAAGAAGGAGCTTTTTCCCACTTTGCAGAAATACTGGCATTGTATAGGAAGGATCCTTAACTCAACTGGAGAGCAAATACTTTGCCTGCAGAAATGTCCAAGGTTTAATCCTTGGATTCTTGGGTATATATGTGTGTGTGTGTGTGTGTGTGTGTGTGTGTATGTACACACTTGCAGGGCATTTCCCAAGGTTAATGGAACTGCTGCCAGTCAGAGTAGACAAGATGGAAATCGAAGAATCATGCTCCGACAGCGTAAGGCAGTTTTGTAGATTCATAGGATACAGACTATTTGTTTCCTCTTCTTAAAGTTTGTTCAAGTTTTATATATTTAAAAACAAAAGTTAGAAAGAATATAATAAATTTCATTTAAAATAAAGGTTATCTATGATTGGGGAAACCATATATTTTAATATTTTATTTTGCAAAATTCTGATCTTCTTCTCCTTTTGTTTTCTAAATGCAAGATTGCTTTTAAGAGATGCAAGAAAGAAGACGTCTTACAGCAGCCTTCTAAGATGCAAGATCATTCCTTGAGTCCACACCATAAATGATCATAAATGTATTGGTTTGAACAAACTTATCTGTCCACAGCTGCTGAGTTTTACTTGCACCGCATATAAATGGTTTTTGTTGTGCCATTTTGTTTTGCTTTCTGTTTCTGGTTTGGTCGATGAGCTGAGTGGTGGCTTAGCAGAATTCCTAGCGTTACTCAGCCTTCCTTGCTTTCCTTGTTTTGCCAATGTATGCCTCAAAGAAGAAATGACAGAAGAGCACAAAGTAGCTGAGGTACATGAGGGAACACCAAACAACGTTGTAAACATGGGAATGGCATTGGCCTTGTTGCATCCAGGCGAACACTAGGTAGTTGACTATGCAGCCAACAAACATCTGTGTAATCTGTGACAAGGTGATAAACATGGCAAATTTGCGTGATACTCTGAAGCCCGCAGCCCGCAAGGCATAATATGTGTACATGACTGCATGTACTCCATAGTTCATGGTCATAAACCAGCCACCACCAGCCACCATGTCCTTGTAAGAGTACCAAGAATAAAGCAGTACTGTAATATGGTGATACCAATGGAGGAAGATGAGCTTCTGTTTCCTAAGAATAATAAATATTGTATCTCCTACAGGGAGAAAAAAAAAGCATAGAATCAATAAGTGTATTGTATAACATGGTTTTAGGAAAAAAAAAAGACACTAAAAGAACCCTTTGAAATACCCTGAAACATTATATCATTTTAAAAATGTGTGTGTTCTTTAACATAAGAAATAAGGATTTTCTACAGAAATATTTTGAATGCAATATCACCTTAAATTTGGTACTAGAATCTAATTATGACCATTTGTATTTGTACAATGACATCATAATAAAAATCTCTGCCATGCCCTAATTTTAAATTTAATAGTTATTTCTTAGTAAGGAAAGATACACAAAAATAATAAAGATAACATCCATAAATTATTAAATGTTAGTTAAATACATCTTTATAATAATCTATTATACTTCTAGAACAGATAATCATTATTCCTGTAATAATATAATCAAAAGAACATATATCAATGAAGAACATACTTAGGTTTTAAATTAATTACACTTTCTGAGATCATGCTAATATCCTTCTGCTCTGATTAACCTTGTTTATTCTCTTCACATTTTTAGAGTGAAAAATATTTTTTCATAGAAAACCATCACCCAAAACAGTGCGGTAAAAAATAATTTTAGTTACAAGACATTACTGTATGTTAAGGCAGTATTAATATGAATTGTAAGGAAACTTTAATTTTATGATGCACTTGATTCAATTCTCTCTTTGGATTAAACACCTCATACTTCCAGCTGAATTGTGAAAATCTACCATATATTTGACTCTCTTTTAATATTTTTTTCAGAATACATTTTTAGAAGAAAACAAAAAAGTTTATTTAATTCATAGATATGACTCTCAATATTTCATTTTATTTTAGTTTGTGGCAACAAGCAAAATAAAGCTGTAAGATGAGCAGCAAAATCAAGGTTTTTTTGGTTTTAAGATTGAGTAGGTGTGTTTTATTTCCCTTCTCCTAGTAGGTAACCTGCCACTCTTACTTATTTTACCAACAATGTTTTAAATTTCCTATACTGCTTTATTCCTTCCTTATTTCTTTTAACTTTTAAAATTATGTTTTTACTATTGTATATTTAACTGAATATTACCTTTGAGACACAGAAGATATACTTCTATGCAGGCAAGTGTTTCAAAATTCAAATAAAGAATGATAGCAAAAGACAAATTAGATCAGGGGTGTCAAACTGCCGGCCCATAGGCCGGACACGTCATTGGGAAACCATGCCCACCCCATTGCCGGCAATGGCAAAAAAGCTTCGATATGTTGCGCGATGTCATGTGACGTCGCGAGTTTGACATGTCTGAATTAGATGCTTCATTTTCATCAGTAACATTCTAGTCTTAAAAACACTTTCAAGTGCAACTTCTGTAGCTTTATTAGCCATATCACATTTTCATAAGCAATTGCAACTGGCTTTATTTAGACTGCAATGAGTTTTTACACATTTTAAATAAGTTAGGATCCACAGCAAAGTATATTGATCAAGAAGAATTCTGGGCAAAGAAAAGAGATTAAGAAAAAAAATGATGGGACATATCAGAGAGAATATTTAAAAAAGAAACGTGTTTGAATATGGTTAAAGAAATAGAAAAAAATTGTAACACACCATTTTAAGAGGGATGAAATGTTTTAGATATTTAAACGTGACTGAATTCAAGAAAAGTACATTACTTATATATCTATATATATAAGTAAATTAGAGTTAACGGATTAGATGATTAAATTTATTTGAATAAAATGTCTAAAGATTAAATATATTCTTAACTATGATTAAAAAGAATAAGAAATTTGAGAAAATAAATACTATTAATCCAGGAGGGATATATATTATATTACCTCTCATGTTTTGTTATTACTGCATTCCTCTCCTCCTTTTTACTTTTTTAAAGAAAAGAAATGTATTAACATGATGATGATTGTGTAGGAATATTGGAATACTTTAAGAAATGTTTTAGATATTTAAAGGTGACTGAACTCAAGAAAAGTATATATAATATATATAAAATGTTTTGAATTAGAGTTAAGGGATTAGATCAGTGGTTCTCAACCTTTTTAATGGCGCGACCCCCAACCGGTCGTAAGTCGAGGACTACTCAACTGGTCGTAAGTCGAGGACTACTCAACTGGTGCAGCACCGTTTACAGAATGGGACTTTTGGTGGGCTCAGCAGGGCAGAGACAGCCTGGACAATTCCTATTGGCTTTTGAAAGCTAATAGAATTAAACTCTATTCAAGAGAGTCTATTCTATTGGCTTTCAAAAACCAATAGAATAAAAGGGAGTAGCACAGCTAAGGAAAAGGGGGAAAAAATGGCGGACCCCCGTGAAATGGTCGTTCGATCCCAAATGGGGTCCCGACCCACAGGTTGAGAACCACTGGATTAGATGATTAGATTTATTAAATAGAATGTTTAAAGATTAAATATATTCTTAACTATGATTAAAAAGAAAAAGAAGTTTGAGAAAATAAATACTATCAAGCCAGGAGGGATATATATTTTAAGTACTATGTTATTTCCTCTGTTCTGTTATTACTGCTTTCTTCTATTCTCTTTTATTTTTTATTTTATTTTATTTTATTATTTTATTTTTCTTTATTCTTTCTCTTTTCCCCTCTTTTTTTTACCAATATATTTAAAATTTAAGAAATATAAAAATGTGAGATGGCTTATATGGAAAAAATAGAATCAAGTTTCTTAATGTAAATGTAATTAATTGTCACCAGTAAAAATTACTTAGAATTTGGTGGGAGAAATAAACTAAAATAAGGACTGTAACAGGATTGATGATAAGGCAATTCAAATGAATGGAAAGAAAAGAATGCATTAATATGATGATTATTTTTTAGAAATATTGGAAAAAATATATACCAAATTGTCACTTATTAAAACAATAAGAATTATATTAACATAATGTTTGCAAAAAAGGATCTTTCAGGGAAAGAGGAAAGTAAACAAAATTAATATATGAAATACAGACTATAGAAATTAATTGTTAAGGATTGTTTTTACAAATGTAACCTAGACATCACACTGTTTACCAACTATTGTGACTTATGTTTGTGCAAAAAAATTAATAAAAAATATAGAAAGTAAATAAGTTAGGATCCATAAGCACATAAATAACAGAGATAAAGTCCTTCCTGCTCAGTGCTGAAAATGAGAAATTCTCTGAAATAATGCTTTCTTTATACTGTTCATTTTTAATTTTTGATTTCTGTTTTTACAGTCAGCATCAGTTCACTAGCAAATGTAGAATTTGGAATTGGGACTATACTAATGAGTCTAATGATAAACAAAGATCTTTGGGCAGATCCAAACAGAAATAATCAAATGTGCTGTTTTTGATATTTCTATAAATGGTTGATGAAGAGAATAGTCTATGTAATATTTTGCTGTATGTAGCAATGAAACATTCTGGCCTGCAGCTCTTTAATATGTATTTGAAAAAAATAATATTTATACCTCGTGCTGTAAGGCATTTTTTATATTTTACATATCTCTTTTCACTACTATTCTGCTGTAAAATATACAAGGATAAATTTATAAACAAAATGGCATACATTTTATGATAAAATGACTAATATTTGGCTTGTTGGATATCTTTGATATGCACTTGCCTGCATAGAAGTATATCCTCCAATTATTTTATTTTATTCTGTTCTCAGTGGTTTCCAGACTGCTTTGAATTTTAACATTAAAACCACAAATTTAAGGACAAAAAAACAATTGAAAGAAACTAGCACTATTGGTTTTCATTTTAAGATGAATGAAAAAAGACTATAAAGAATTCTCTGTGTCACACATGAAAATGTACATTATGTGCACTGACGTGAGGAATATTAATGTATCAAAATGTGACATAATTATAATAGTAAAAAAGTGAAAATGCATTGTAGAAAAAAGGTTAAAACAATCCTAGTCTTTATTCTTATGCTCTGTTAAATAGAAAGGAGTTTTTTAATCTACCAAAGACGGGAACATGGAGTACTGCAGGATAGAGAATACTCTAAAGACATAGGACCTGCTTCTGCTTGTCCCTTAGCAAAATGGGAGAACTTCTCTGGGACATGTGATGGTTGAAATTCCAAGGATGTGTTGTACGTTCATTATTTTCCATGCTGCCACAAGTTTGAATAGTCACTGAACTAACAGGCGTAAGCCAAGGACTAGCCCAGGGGTAGGCATTATGGGAGTTGAAGTCCACGAGTCATAAAAGAGCCAAGGTTGCCTACTCCTGGACTAGCCGTACTGTGCTTGCAATGAGCTTAGTTATAGGATTGCTTGGATAGAAGCAATCCTATAGATAGAAGCAACAGAAGTGCTTGGATATGTTCTCAAAGTGATTCACAACCATTTTTTTCTGGAAACAGGCCTACAATAAAATTGTCCATGCTGTTTTGATATCTTCCAGAAACATGACTATATGCATTCCCATAGAATCTTTCAACTTCATAAAGGATTGCTTTCATTTAATTTGTCATAATCTACACTAATCACAATTCATTCTGAAGCACAGGGGCCAAATATTTTTTATTATGCTTTCAATCAGATGATGCCCCTAGAAGAATATTTTAAAAAGAAAAGATTCCTCAAAACAGCCTAAACCACAAGGGTGTTGAATAATATCAAAGCATCTTAATGCATGTCACAGTATCAAAACAGTTATTTTGTTTCTTCTAGTCCAGTGATGGCGAACCTTTTAGAGACCGAGTGCCCAAACTGCGACCCAAAACCCACTTATGTATCATCGGGTGCTGGGTGGGAATGGCCCATTGGGTGGGTGTGGCCAATTGGGTGGGCATGGCCAATTGGGAGTGTGGCTGCGCTGGTAATGGCAGACTGAGTGAGACTAAAAAGTTCAATCAATCAATTCCAACTTTGCGAGATTTTTTTTTCCCATGAGAAGTTGAAATTGATTGATTGATTAACCCCCCCCCCTTTTTTTTTTGCACACGGTGGTGGAGGCCTAAAGTGAAAAGGTTTTATAAAACCCAGCAGAAGGCCTAGGACTGGGGCAATGGCGCGCATGCCCACAGAGAGGACTTTGAGTGCCGCTTTTGGCACCCATGCACCACCACGGTTCTAGTCTATAAAATTTAACCAATTAATGAATTGATCCTTCCACCTGGCACTTTTCACAGCCCTAAGACATTATGAATTTGTGGCTGCATTAATTATTCTCTGAGCTAGTGCAGCATTTATTATATGGGAGAAGTGCTATTTTCTAGCCCAAAGGTAAAGTTGGAGAGTAGAATAAATAACAGAATTCTGAAATTTTATAATTCAAATCAAAACTGCATGGACTAAGAATTTCCCCAAGTTTTTTTTTTATGTGCTCTTCATTTTACAATTTGATTCAGGAGATAAAGTGATTTTCAAATTTACAAATACAAAAGTTATGGGGATGCACAACAATATTTTAAAACCACTTAAAACACCAAGGTAAAATCTTTTGTAGCTTTGCTCTTTTGCTTTCATTATGTCCCATAAAGTTTTTATTTTTTTTTTAAAAAAAGCCACTCACCTAATTCTGGTGCTTTACTTAGCACAAATGCATATGCCCAGAATTTGCTGACTGGTCCATTGTAAAAACTCTGGTCGCAAACTGATTGCTTCAGTCCTTTGGTCATCAATATACACACCATATAAGCACCCGTTCGAACAGCACCAAATATACTTTGTGACCGTAAAGAGAAAAAATAAAACAATAGTCATTAACTATTGTAAGAAACAAATGGAGGCAAAATTTACAGACACTATTAGTGTGCAGAGTTGGTCTTTTTTTAAAAAAAAAATCACCGTATAAAGGAATGAGGAACAAACAGAACACTTAAACATTACCTATATAAAACTAACTGAATCACTGATTGAGGAAGTAAGCAACAGCAGAGGAAAACACCCACCTTATGAACTGTTATTATTTTTTCCCAGTGGTATTATACAAATAATTCCCTCAATTTCTTTCTTGCTGGATATTTTGGATTCACATATATACAGACTATAACTGTATATCCAGGCTAATTCAGATGACTTCTACTTGGCAGCAAAGTGATACTGAAAATATTGTAGTGGATGTCCTGATTTTTGCAGTCCAGATATGGTATCCTACTTGAGTTTCCAAGGATAATGATGAATTAAAGAAAATCCCCAAGCAAAACTTGGGGGAGGGAGGATCCAGAGTTGTATATATATAAATCATCAACCATGTTTTTTTAATCTGATCAGGATTCAGGTTTAGTATAGTGAAGAATCAGAACCATTTCTAAGGTTTCAGCCTAGAAGATTTATTCAAGTCCAAGAATCTGGTCAACTAAAGAGCAACACTAAATTGGTGCCAGATAAGGATCAAAGCAATTCAGGAGGGGTTGGTCTTGAAGTGCTTGTGGGAATGCAACAACTCTAAGATGATGATGATGATAAAAATAACAGCAATAATAACAGAGTTGGAAAGGACCTTAGAGGTTTTTTAGTCCAACCCCCTGCCCAGGCAGGAAACAGTATACCATTTCAGACAAATGATTGTTCAGTCTCTTCTTAAAAACTTCCAGTTTTGGAGCATTCACTACTTCTGGAGGCAGGTTGTTCCACAGATTAATTGTTCTAAATTTCCTGATAGTTAGAGCAATTAATCAGTGGAACAACCTGCCTCCAGAAGTTATGAATGCTCCAACACTGGAAGTTTTTAAGAAGAGACTGGACAACCATTTGTCTGAAATGGTATAGGGTTTCTGCCTGGGCAGGGGGTTGGACTAGAAGACCTCCAAAATCCCTTCCAACTTTTAATAATCTATATAAATAAAAATGTAAATGTTCGTTTGTTCAAAATCTTAAATCTCCGAAAGTTCTTCACTGATTGCTTTGAAATTTTGACACAACGTTGCATTTGAATACGTGCGTGTTTATATATACCTATATTATATAGATGTCACACCTGTGACAGGTAAAAACATACTTTTACATCCATCTGTTGGATGTAAAAGCAACACACGCTACGATTTCAGACAATCTCTATATCTGCACAGACAATGGAACAACAAAGAATATTGTGTACCCACAAGCATTGTGAAATTAAACATATTACAAAGGTGCACTTTCTCTTTTCTTTCTTTTCCATTTAACCAGACTGAGCCATAGCAACGTGTGGCTGGGTACAGCTAGTAATAACATAATATTAATAACAATAACAACAACATAACCTGCAACATAACACCCTGGACTTAACAACTGTCGATAAGAAAGACAAAAATCTGGATAGTGGACGTGGCAGTGCCTGAAGACAGCAGAATAGAAGAGAAAGAACTAGAGAAGATAACAAAATACAAAGACCTACAAATAGAAATAGAACAACTGTGGCAAAGGCAAGCAAGGGTAGTACCAATAGTAATAGGCACCTTGGGTGCAATCCCAAAACAACTGGAGCACCACTTGAACACCATTGGCATTGACAAATTTGCCAATAGTCAATTGCAAAAGGCGGCCTTACTAGGAACTGCTTCCATCCTGCGACGATATCTGTAATACCATCAAACATCCACATCTGCCTATCCCAGGTCCTTGGTAAGGACTCGATAGGTAGACAAAAATGCCAAATCCAGTCTGAACATCTGGCTGACTATGCGATGATCAATAACAACAACAACAACAACAATAATCTTAGAGTTGTTGCATTCCCACAAGCACTTCAAGTCCAACCCCTCCTGAATTGCTTTGACCCTTATCTGGTACCAATTTAGTGTTGAATCAATTTAATGGTGAATAATAATGCACTTAATTCTCCTCCATAGCTCTGGCTATACTTTTCTCACAAGTAAGTCCTCATCAACTTGTTATTATATTTATATAAGAATCAACACCCTAATTAAATAACCTTAGATAAAAGAAAGAATTCTGTCAATACCAGACTAGTATCAATATTCCAAGCAATTTTACTGTATACATTGTGAAAGAGCAAAGGAAATCCAGCACATATACAGTTTCTATATTTCAATGCAATTTCTGTAATGAATCCAGCATTATAAATGAAACTATATCTCTGAATCTTATTACTAAGATTAATAATAATCTTATTATTTTCATCATAATTAAAACTATTATGATTTTTATTATCATAAAAAAAATCAATACCTTTTCACTCCCCTCTCTTTTTTAAATAAGAACTATGCATCATCTATGGCTATTCCAGTGATAATCTGAGCCCTGCAGCAAGATTGAAAAAACTCAGACAATTCATTTCATCCAAGGTTGCAGGGCATAGTGAGTAGCTTGCAGATAATTTACTATTTGGCAATCATTAATTAAATTTCAGAATTTCATAGTGTATTATGAGGCTCTGCGTGAATTCTTTGGAGACTACATTGCATATATGTAAGCATATTTTAAATAAGCCAATCATTCAAATTTATATTGCTCATGGACCTACATAGAAATAATAATGTAACAATTGCACTAAAATAGAAATAAAAAGTCACATTGGTAGAAAACCAGGTAAAGGTATAATTATTAATGTAAAACTAGTGTATAGGAATTAAAATGAAAAAGAATCTTAGAAAGTTACAATTAATTTTTCAATAACCTAAATGCTATAAAGAGATAGGATAGGTAAGTATAAAAAGGACAAAAGTAATACCAGAATGTATGAAACAATACAAGAATGTAAAGCTATGCTAAGTTATATTAAGTCTAATACTTGCTGAACCCCTTCTAGGTTTTGATGGGATTATAGTCCAACTAATTAAACAAGGAACTAGCAGAAAAAAACATATAATAGTGTATATTTAAAAAGCAGAAGAGAAAAAAGGGGGAGGGGAAAAAGAAAAAAGGGAAAATATATTGAATTATAGAAGCCTAGTTAAGTTTCACCATTATTTCAATTGGAAGCTGTGCTTATAACTAATTATAGCTCTGACATAGAACCAGATTATATTATGTGAAATAGAGGCTACCTGGTCAGTTAGCAAGAAACTAAGGTAATCAGCTTCCAGACTCTCTTATTATTATGTTATACATGGGGAAACATAGATATCTCATAGGTATGTCTATATGGTCTATTTTTTCATTTGAATTTAATACAAATATTTAAATAGATCCCATCTCTTCTAAGTGTTAAAAACATATCTTTATATGTTCATAACTTTTGTGGGAGAAAAACTGTTTGAGAAGATGATATAAACTTAGAGTAATAAAATTACTATTCCATTAACAAAAGCTTAAAAGAGAAAATAAATTTATCTACAATATTTTTTTCATAAAACATTGCATTGTGTGTATAGAAGCACCATCATGTGCACTGTCCCTGTATTCAACTTGATCTCCAGATACTCAGTTGATATTTAGTTTACTCAATATTCTGTGAACCTACAGAAGACAGATCTACCTTTGCACATAGAAATAAAACTAGTCCTGGTGACAAAAAGCATTTTTTATTATCAAAGATCAGACTAACTGCAGCACCTTGTTCTCCAATATAACTCAGCCTCAGTTATACATGCCATGATAATTTTCACCTTAGAATGCAGAAGATGTGGTATATGAGTTGTTTTATAATATCACTTGCAAATTTCACAGCCTTGTTTGTTTCCAGTTTCTTATAAAGACAATTCAAAGTACCGGCAGCTTACTTAAAATCTGCAGCAGCTACTAACTGTTACCACATAGCATGTGATATGTGACCATATGGATACAGGATATTTTAACAGTACTTATAAAGCTTTATAGACATTGAAACATGGAAACTGAAAGGACCTCAGTTTACCTGCCGATTTAACCAAGGAGAAAAACCAGAACATGTCCTAACCCAGATAAGCAGGGGTTAACACTAGACAAACAATCAGGCAGAACACAACGCCCTAATAAAAGAACTACTAAGGAGAAAACTACACACTCCCCAATACTTGCAAAACAAGTTACTGAATATAAACAGAGCAAACACCATTCTCACTAGTACTGCTGATGTTACCCAGTTGTTTGCAAGCAAACAACCAACGCCAGAGAATACCAAAGACTCCCCAATAAATGAAGAATTTGCTACATTTTAAATGCACCAGTTAATTATATGGTGCATTTAGGGTAAACCTGAAGCTTATATACAGTAATACTGGTTTCATATTTTACAAAGTACTAAAAAGGATCTTGTTTGTTTTTCAAGCTGAGATATATCCTGGATTCGATGGAAATGTTATTTATAAAAAAGCAAATTAATAAGTTCCTATTAAGTACCTATGTTCTCAATAATGACATCTATAATCTATGGGATGCCAATGGAGTAAAATGCATTCATGTTGTTGCTACCCATCTATGAGCCTCATAGATGGGTAGCAACAGCATGAATGCATTTTATTTATAAAATAAAATGTAAAGATACTTATTTATATTTGCCTCCATTGACTTAAGTCTTGAGGTTTGAAAACAACCTCAAAAGAATCAAGAAAATGTGAAAAGTTAGGGTGGATTTCCAAATGATTTGTTGCCAAAACAACACTGTTGATTAAGAGCACCATGTGAGTGCAAACAACTCAATCGGGTCATTCATTTCCATCTACTTGGCCAAAAACAATTGTAACAAAAGACTGAAAAAGCTATTACAATTACAAGGCAATGTTCCAAATAAAGAGCTCATTCTTAGGATCAGCTGAGAATTGGGCAAGGATATCTTCAACAGAGATCATACCAATGTAACATCGGTGATTATGTCAGCATAATAGTGATTACATCAAAGTGTAGCCTCATTAGTATTTTGGCAGACTCACTAATTCTTGGACTAATCTGTTTTGTAGGAATAAAACTGGAGCGAGATAACATCATGCATGCCACCTTAGACTCCCAGAAGACGATATGAAAACAAACAGATAAATAGAAGAATGCAAATAAAATTTTTAATTAAGGGACAGCAAGAAATTATGTTCCAAATATTGCTACTGATGGCCAACCTTTGTGATTTTTTTTTAAACTTTTCACTTTGGTCTACAGGTAGTCCTCACTGACTGAACTCAACTAGACCAGCAACTCTGTTCTTAAGCAATTCAGTCATAAAGTGGGAAATTACATAACTGCACCTAACTTGCTATGGCAATTCCAGCTGAAGTCATTAACTCATCACCTATGCCTGTTAAGCATGATGTCACATGACCACAACTTGTAGCTTCCTGCAGGCTTCGTCACTGACTTTCTTGGTGGAAGCTGGCTGTGAAGGTTGCAAATGGTAATCATGTGACTGCAGAATGCTGCAACTGTCATAAATGTATACTGGTTGTAAAGCGACTGAATCACAATCATGTGATCACAGGGACACTGCAGCAGCTGCAACTTCAAAGACTGATCATAAATCTTATTCAGCAGCATCGAAACTGAATCATCATTGAATAACTGGTCAGTAAGCAAGGATCACCTGTATTTGTTTTCTGTGATCCTACCAGAGAAAAAAGATATCATGAAAACCATGTAGCAGTAACACAATTGGAGCACAATGCCAGTCACCGATTGTTTGAGAGCTCTGATAAAGGATTCATCAAGGTATATGAGTATTCAAGGAAGGCAAATGTCCCCAAACATTTGGGCTGAGGAGCATTTTAATGGAATTCTCCCAAAATCTCTATTATATGCACGGCCAATCATATAATAGTGAGAAGTTAAACTGCTTAAGTTGTTTCCTGCCAACACTCTCTAATTTTGCAGTCAGATCTGTACTATCTCAAGTTATTTTTCTGAACAGATGGATTACATTTAAAAAAGCACTGCCTTCCCCCCACCATTTAATTTTTTTAAGAGTGCTTGGTGTGATCCAGAAGAAAGATTTGAAGCTTTTCTTTATGCCATGACAGTCTTTTGCCTTGTTTTCTTCTTAAAAACATTGCAGAGTCATAAAATCAGATGGAATGTGTAGCCTTGTGGATAATAAGAAATATTTGTAGTTATGTTGGGATCCTGTGAGCTAGCTTGCTTCCTTGATTATTTATTCATTTGAAGAGTTCTTATATTACTTCAATCAATCTTACACTTCTTTCAATAACAAATGAAGTATAGCTGAGGCTAGATGACTTTTTTTGTTAGTTATTTGTCAAAAATGCTTGCTACAATTTAGGTACAGATGTTCCTCACTGCTCATTTCCATTGTTGCTTCTAATTTAGCTCTTCCAGTGGCTTCCAATTACAATTGTCCTGCTTCCATTCTTCAAGACCATCTGGAGACCCAACACTGGAATCAGTTTAGACTCTTCAAATATATTGACTGAATGATTCCCAGAGATTCCAGCCAGTATGGCTGAAGGAATGAAGAACTTTGAAGATGGCAATTTCAGTAAATGTAGACAGTGCCAGACTGGCATAAGACTCTAAGCAGTATAATCTATAAGACATAACAGTGTTATATATTTCCAATTTCATTTGAAAGCAACCCTCAGAAATAGATATAAATATTTGTCTTCTTTTATTATAAAAGATGGAATGAACTTTAAATATTTTTTTTAAAAAAACTGCTTACTTGTTTTGTTAAATTTTGGTAGATAAATCAGCATTTATAAATACTGTACATATATTTATTTAGGGAGAATTAGACAAATTGCTAGTTACTATTGTTTCAACTTATTCCACCAAATAGGGTCAAGTATAATTTCTTAGAAAAGTATTAAATTAATAAAATTTGATAGGAGGAGATTTAAAAATAAATACATGCACTTCTCAGGGAGAAGTAATATTCTAAAACAGGGGTGTCAAACTACCGGCTTGTGGCTGGATGCGTCACACGGAAGCCACGCCCACCCCAGTTCCGGCAAAAGGAAAAAAGTCACAATACATCGTGACACCACATGACTTGGCGAGTTTGACACCCCTGTTCTAAAATGTGGAAAAAAGTTCCTGCAATATTCTCACATATTAATATTATTGCAGATTCAAGAGATGACATATAGAAGATTATATATCCCAAGAAAATAAATTTATATATTATTTACAGAACCTTAAACAAATATATTAAAGCTACCCACTGGGATAAAACTATGTTATATATGACTATAGCAAAATGAGGCAGCTTCCCATTGTATATGTTTTCAGTTTAAATTCTTTACTTGGCAAATAATCTACTTATAATTAAAGAAGTTACTTAATAAACTTTAACTCAGTTCAAAACACATGCATCAATATGGTATAAAATTTAAATAAAACCCAATTATTTCTTCAGAACACAAGCTGTTATACTGCAGTCATAGTGGTAGTAAATCTTAGGTCCAGGGATAAATGAAAGTATCTTGAGATATTTATGAAGATTTGAACAGCAGTCTAAAAAGGAAGGAAGTCTGTTTCTACAGGATATTAAGGTTATTACAAAATCAGAGGTATCCAATTATTGGAGACAGTAGAGTATCTACCATTGAAATCTATTATCTACCTACCTATCATTATCCTAAATCAAAATATTTACCGTGATGATGATTGCTTCTGAGTCAATCCTGGATAACATTTTTTAGAAGTGGTTTGCCTTGCCTTTTCCCTTAAGACTGTGGTGTACCAAACTGACTCTCAGACACATTACAATTGTCAGAAAACTTTTAGACATGTAACAGAAACCTAGGCTGCATCCTACATTTCCATGTACATGATGTAGCAAGCTCTATCTCATGAAAGCTTTTCATAAAATTTGTTAGGCTGGAAAGGTGCTTACCAGACTCCCCTTATTTTTGACTACTATCTCTCCTTCTACAGTGCATTCCTTTAGGATTAAGTAGTATTTCTCCCAATGTGAATTAATTTGAGTAGACAAGTACAAGATTGTAAGGTAGAATTCCAATAAAGCTAGGGTAAACAGATTAAATCCACAATTTAAAGATGGTGAAAATAATATTGTATTACTTCCTCAGATGTTTCTTAATCGTGAGCCGATCTTCATATGCTTTAATGAATCTTGAAAGGACATACAGCTTTCTGGAGGACAGTTTATTTATCTAAAAGATTTGTATAGCCGCCCATTTTAAAGCCTAACTCAGAGCCACCCATTTTAGAGCATAAAAGCACAAAGCAGTAAAATAAAATACCCATAAAACAAATAACCCCTCCCGTGCCGTACCCATTGCCCTGTGATGCCCCTAACATGCCATCCACAGGCTCCAATTTCACTTCAGCCTGGCTAGCACTTGGGGGAATAAGTGGCCAGATAAACGAGAAAGGGATGCCTCACAGGGTATGGACCATTATAGAAAAGACAGTTCACATCATGCAATTGTGGTGCATACATATTATAAAATACATTGGCTGGGAATTTTCAGAGTTGAAATTTCTCTCTCTCCACAATCTCCTGCTTGGGGAAGGCAGTTGTAAGATGTAAGAATCCTGATGTTTGCAAAAATTAGCTTTTTAAAATATTTTCCTTATTTAAATCAGTTAATAATTTAAATATGAATAGCTTCTTCCACAAAGTAGCTTACCTGAAAACTGCGAGACTCAAAGACCATAAAACTAATGGTTTTCTTAGTTCAAATTTTGCTCTTTTGTTCATTAGATGCCGACCACCGAATATAAAGGCAGCATATAAAGCAGAAAACAGGAAAGATTTTTTCCTAAAAAAGAAAAAATGAAACAAACCTCAATCACAAAATGCTTTTTGATCAGCCATTAGTGTACAAATCTTTCACCTATATTTGAAGGTATTTGACACAGAAAAGCATTCAGGTTATTGCTACTCATGTATGTGTTTTCTTTCAGGCAATCGAAACATAGACTATTGAATGCAAATTAAGCACTCTGGGTAATAAACTCCAAATGTAATTATGAAGTGCAACCCAATTAAAAGTACTTTGTGGTCTTGTTGTGTTCCTAGTAATAATCCAATAGTCTGACATAATGCTGGTTAAAACCATAATGTAATTCTTTAGTTTGGATTTAGCACATTATATAAACTCAGCCAATTATGGTCTATTTAGTAAATCATGATTAAATAATGGCTCAACATGCCATATGAACTTGCATGTGAGTAACTGTGATTTAAGAAAAATAAAAAAACAAACTAATCTGAACTGGACCAATATTTTGAAAGTATTTTTTTTGTGTTTTAACAATAAGGGATTTTTGGTGAGTATTAATAGAAGGTAATAGACCAGACTATACTTATCTATATCATCTATATCAGTTCCCCAATCTTTCCAGCTTTGTGCATCAGCAAGGGGGGGGGGGAGAGAAGGGATGATTCCACGTGAGCAGCAGACACAGCTATCTGCCACTTGCACAAATGGAGTGTGTGTGCACAAGCTTGCCTGCTGATCATATAAGTGGGAATGTGCTTGCGTGCTCGCCTGCCACTTCTGTGGCCCAGTTCTGAATGGCTCAAGGCCCGGTAGTGGGCCATGGCCTGGGGGCTAGGGATCCCTGACCTATATTTCTATATCTATAGAGGAAAATAGCCTAGAAGCAGTCATTGGGACTTTGAATACTACTCTAGGCATTTCAGTGCTTCCAGATACTACTAATAATATTATAACGGTGACTGCAAATACTGGATTAGTCTGTAACATAACAGCAATACACAACAGAGTTTCACCAGCATAATAAAAACATGTGTCTTGCACGGCCTTAAATTAGAATTGAACCGTTCATTTAGCGACCATTCAAAGTTACAATGACACTGAAAAAAGTGACTTATGACCATTTTCCACATTTATGACCTTTGCAGCATCCCCATGGTCACATGATTTACATTTGGATGCTTGATAACTGGTTCATATTTATGATGGTTGCAGGGTGCTGGGCTCATGTGATCCCCTTCTGCAACCTTCGACAAGCAAAGTCAATGGGGAATCCAGAGTCATTTAACAACTGTGTTACTAACTTAACAATTTCAATGATTCACTTAACAACTGCAGCAAGAAAAGTTGTAAAATGAGGCAAAATGCACTTAACAAATGTTTCACTTAGCAACATAAATTTTGGGGTCAATTGTGGTCGTAACTCGAGGACTACCTGTATAAGCATAAGGCATTGCAGCTTGTGCAACAACTCAGAAATTTCCAGCGACATTCCCAAATAATTTATTTAGTGCAATTGGAAACAGAAAGTTATCTAGCTGTCACTTTACAGAACAGGTAAACAGTTTCATATCATGTCTCCCCAAAAACAAGCCCTATCCTGAAAATAAGCCCTAGCTTGATTTTTACGCATGCTCTAATACAAGCCCTTTTCCCCAAATAAGCCCTAGTTAAGACCCCACTCACTCCATCCCACCATCTGGTCACATGAGGTGGGGCGATGCGTGCACGTAAAAATCAAGCTGGGGCGGGGGGGATGGAGCTGCCCCAGGTATCCCACACTCGCTTACCTGAGGATCACCGCAGCCACGGCTTCCTTGCTCTTATAGTTGCCTCGCCTCGTGGCAGCGGCACTCACAACCCCTTTGCCGACGAAACAGAGGCTGGGGGGGGGTGATGCGTGCATCAACCCCAAGCTCCGTTCTGGACTTCAGAAGCTGCAGAAGTGGGCCAGGGCCACATGGGCTCCTGATGGACAGGGTTGCTGGTGCCGCTGCCACAAGGCAAGACAGTGAGAAAAAAGACATCCCCTGAAAATAAGATCGAATGCCTTTTTTGGAGGTAAATATATATATTTGAGAATAAAACTTGATCACCAGGAAAAGTTAAAATGTTAAAAGTTTTTATATAAAACAAAAGTTTTAAATACAAAACATTAAAAGTTTTAAAAATAGAGACCTAGCTTTCTTGGCTGCTGCCAACTTCATCAGGGCGTACATAGATCAATGGGAGTGAACATTTATATGTAAGTTAACACCTGCGCTTGACTTCTGGACTGCGTAATGGGTCCAGGTCGGCCAATCGTAGCATTCGTTGTAATTACTGCATGATTGAATGACTCATCCAGTTGAAAGTCACCCCGAGGAGGCGATGAGCAAGGAGAGGACCCTTGTTGATTGTGGGAAGTTGGCAGCCCTTCTGTTTGATCTGAGGAAGCCCTCCAAACTGGCAGGGGAAAGATTAGCTACATTTGCGTAGCCAGTAAGAAGCTCCTGACAACAGAAGGAAATCTTTTTATGATTTTAAGACTCTTCCTGAAAAACTGCCCAAAAACTGCCCAAAACTGCCCAAGATTATAAATCTTGATTGATAAACAAATGGCATCAGTGAAATCTAGTGGTGAATTATGGCACTACAACTTATTGTGCCTAAAAGAAATCTGGCTCGAAGCCCAGACTTAGATAAGACTCTGGCTGGCTTTGGAAGCTTTCACTTTTGAAGATTGCAGCTGAGAAAAGGGAAAAGACTTGGGGGCTGCTTATCTGTGTGGCAGAGATGATAAACTATTCTAAAACTGGCCTGTCTGAACTACAAACACAAATGCTGACTTTCAGAACTGTATTGTGGAACTATTTTCCTGCAGAAGAAACATACACTAGTGCCTGATATGATGGAATACTTTAGATTATAAATCTTGATTGATAAACAACTTTTAATGGTTCTTTCTTCTCTCTGGACAGAAAGGAGATATTTCTCCTTGGACAGAAAAATTTGAATTTTACTTATATTTGCTTAGGGGAGGTTTAAGAATGGACTGATAAGTTGGCTGGATAATCTGGAGCTCCAATGACAATTAACTGAAACTTTCTAAATTCTTAAACAGATCTCTATAAAGGCTACTTACAAAAAATAAAATGGAAGTTCCATATTTAATTCTAAATGGTAAAAAACCATCCTTAGTATTTGTCTCCAGAAGCCTCAATTTTTCATACCACCAAGAAAATACTGATGAATCACAGAAAGAAATTCTCTCCATGTTGAAATCAATATAAGAAACAATTGCCTTAGCTCATGATGAGATTAAAAATAATACAAAGGAGATAAAAGAACAATTTTCTAATTTAAATCTACAAACTCAGAAAATAAATACAGAGAAGGAACTAGCAACCCAGAACATAGAAGGAAAACTAGAGAAAGCTGACCTAAACATGGAGGACCTAAAGGAAGAAATTAACGGACAGACTCAGACAAATGAAGAATCAGAAGACATAACAATAATATTGGAAATGGAAAAGACATTTTACCAACCAAGATTTCAGGGCATACTTGAGGATAAGGAAGGAGAGCTGATGGAATGGAAGATAGAGCCGTTAGCAGAACTGTGGGGAATTGGAGAAGGAGGGAGGCTGTTTAATGAATATCAATGGGCTAGTTTTTCCTAAAATACTTTAACCAAATTGTCTTTCTTGTTCCAAACAATATACACAAAAATAGAGGAAGAATTATTTGATGATTCAAAAGCACTTACTTGGAAAGTTAGTTGGCAAAGGAAGAAAACTAGAGTAAGACTGAAGAAAATAGAAGCTTTGACCTATTAGAGGGGATATTATATTATTAATTAGATGTTTGAATATGGCTAAGAATAGATTGCTAGAAGTAGAAATATTATTATAACTAGATAGATAAGATTGGTAATCAGAATATCATATCTTGGCATGAAAAGGAAAATAAGAAAATCATAAGAAGTTTGAATAAGGGAAGCTTTTGGTTACCCAAAAATAACTTGCTTTGAAATTATAAATTATTGGAATATTTTGAACATGGATGGGAAATTAAAACGGAAATAAAGCAAAAATAGGATACTGACTGAATAAATGGATATTGAGTGCAAATGCAATTAAGATATGTTTTGGTTAGAAAATATATTTTAAACTGATATTACTGATACTATTAGAAAACTGTAATAAAGATGCTGATATTCAACTGTATATTTATTAATAACAATAAGAATTGTATTTGCTTAGTGTGGGAAAATGTTTATTACCGGAAGAAGAGAGGATGTACTGAATGGTGTAATATTGGATTTAGTTTAGTTGTCTATTAAGTACTTGATTGTAAAAAATACAATATTAATAAAATATCTATAAAAATAGTTAATTAACTATTGATTGGTTAATTAAACAGCTCTAAATAATTAATACACTTCATTCTGAGTATGTTTATTGCTTTTGAAGGGTTCTGGAACAAAGGGAAATTGTTTAGTCTAACTGTTGCTTTCTTGCTTTTTATAATCAGCTTTTGCACCAGGGAAATCTCATGCAAGCGTGGGAAACATGTACATGGATGAGAAGTACTGAAGGAGGGAAAAAGGGAGTGTACAGGAATGATTGATGTCTTCCTTATGATGTAATGGCTCTGTTGTCTGATTTTCATTGGCTAACAAAATTTATAAAGCAATGCTACTAACTTTCCAAGGTTAGGCACTTCTGGACGTAACTCTGCCAGTGTTCCAGATTGTTTGTCTCCCGGCCACCTTATTTGATCAAATAAAGATCTGTCTAAGAAACCTCCACTTGGGTTATCTGATTAGATTGATATAGTATCTTAAGTAAGGGATTGGGACTTTACATTTCTATCATGTACATTCTGTAAGCTGCCTCAAGTCCAGTGGTTGTAGGGCAGCGGTTCTCAACCTGTGGGTTGCGACCCCATTTGGGATCGAATGACCATTTCACGGGGGTCGCCAAACAACGCAGTCCGCCATTTTTTCCCCTTTTCCTTAGCTGTGCTACTCCCTTTTATTCTATTGGCTTTTGAAAGCCAATAGAATAGACTTTCTTGAATAGAGTCTAATTCTATTGGCTTTCAAAAGCCAATAGGAATTGTCCAGGCTGTCTCTGCCCTGCTGAGCCTGCCAAAAGTCCCATTCTGCAAACGGTGCTGCAAGTTGTCTGCAGCAAAGGCGAGCTGTCTGGAAGTTTCCACCCCTTCCTGCTGAGCAACTACTAAAAATGTAAATAAAAGAGGGCCAGGGGTGGGAGGCCGGTGGGCATAGGGAGGGTTGCTGGTGCACATGGGGCCCGGCGGGTATCTTATCTCCCTTGGGCTGGGCCAGCTGGTGGCCCAGCCGGTGGTCACCCTGCGCCGTTGCTGCCCCTTGCCCGCTACACTTCGGCCGGCGCAGGGGGCGGCACCACGCATATGTGGCGCTCCTGGGCAAGGAAAGTCCTCAACTTACGACCGGTTGGGTAGTCCTCGACTTACGACCGGTTGAGTAGTCTTTGACTTATGACCGGTAAGGGGTCGCAGCATTAAAAAGGTTGAGAACCACTGTTGTAGGGAGTCTTATAACTTTCATAAATATTCATAATGGTACAGCTTGGACCCAAATTCTTTGAAGTAGCTAAGTAGCTCTTTAAATAATTATCTCTATTGTAATGATGAAGTAAATGTATATTAAATACTACAGAATTATGGAGATAATTTGTCTCACAGTGTGTATGTGTGTGGGTGTGTGTGTGTGTGTGTAGAGACAGACAGACAAACAGACAGATTTTAAGCACAGCTGAGCACCATGGGACTTAATTCCATTTAGAGAATGCTTGAATCCTGGATCTTATTCCATTCTTTCATTCCTTATAAGCAAAGTACAGTTAGCCAAACATGACGTCTAAATTATCCCTGACATTAACTCAAATTATCTTAAGTAGGTCAACAACTATATTTATATATGTCAGGTCATTTCACAACTTTTTAATTAGCTCTTTATTTCTGATTTTTAAAGGTCACAAATGCCAAATTATCTGCATATTCTCCTTATCTGTGTAAGGAGTCACTAAAGTGGAGTCTTTCTTCACTGGTTAGATATATATATTGGAACTGAGCCTATAAATGGGCTGTAAAAGACTAAGGCATAAATCTAACATTCCTGACAAGGTACCATTTGCTTTTTATTTTAGGATGAAGTAAAAGCTCCACACTCAGAATGGCGTGGGGAAAGATTTGTCAAGAATTGGCTTAAATGCATTCTTGTCTACTGAAAGCAAAGGGAAAATTCTAGAGTGGGTGGGTGTGTGGCAGCTGACTAGCTTTCAGAGTTTTACTTATAGGAACACTGATTTCTGGCATGGATGGATGGCTTATTTACTGCATTTATCAATATCCTAAATGACTACATATTTCAATGATTAAAAAAGTTGTACAACACTGAAAATGTTAAAATGCCTATCTTAATTCTTGAAATAATTGCTATGAAAATTAAACTAACCTTAACTGTAACCATGTTCTGTACAATGGGCAGAACTATATCAACCAACATTAAGAATTTTCAAGAGTCCTATTCCAGTTCAATCCTTTGGTTTGCTGTCCTTCAAAGGGAGAAAATAAATATTGTTTTGCAATGATTGCAGACAAAAGAAAATCCTTCATGTGGAAAATATGTTTAATTCTAAACCAGAAGTTATTTTTAATGATAGATTTCTTTGTAAACCACAATGAAAAGAAGAGTCACTAACAAAGCAAGAGTAAACATATTGCATTGACTTTTACATACTATTTTCATTCACAGCTTGATAAAAACTCCTATTTTTGTTGCTTTCTTGGCAGGTGTTGAGTGGAACATTAAGCCTTAGAGATTGCCAATTTGAAAACTAGAATAAATGGGTGCTTGTAGTCTACCTCTGCTTCCCAATTTTTGGTTCACACATTTTCTGTCACAGATCTGGCATAAAGTAAGGATACGGAAACACAATAATAATATGCTTTAAAAAGTTGATATTATTAAACAAACTTAATATGAAAGAAATGAAAAGGAACCAAAAATACAATCAGTTTTGATTTTTTTAAAAAAAACATTGTCCTTATTTAGATTTAATTCTTTGTTGCTAGTACCTTTGGATTCTCCAATGTAGCCTCATATTGTGTGCAAAAATTCAAAGGATCAATAGAGGGGAAACAAAGGAAAAACAAGCCAACTCTTTGCTGCATCTGCTAGCTATATGGGGATCTGTATCCTCCATTGAATAGTCTTAGCCTTTCTCAATTTGATTTCAAGAGTTTGGTGTCTTTAGCAATACATAGAGGTAGTTCTCGCTTACTGTGACCATAGTGTCACAGTTAGAATCAAGATTTTTTGCTTATTAGGTTACCAGTTATGCAAGGTAATACTGAAAATCCAGTGGCTTGTTTTGTTATATAGTATTATTTGTCACCAAATCACCACATGCTGAAGATTACTATGTGGAACTATTCCTTGAATTACAACAGAGGAAAAATTATGCAAAGAGTTTTTAAACTTATTCTTAAGGTCGCATGTCCTTAGCCCAGGACCCACTGAACTTAATGGAGATTTCTTATTAACAGATATTTGCAGATTGCACAAATGCTCTTCAGGCACTTTGCAGGTAGATATGAGCCCTACCTGGACATTAAATCAGGACTTCTGTGCATGGTCATTACATTCTTAAACATAATCATACTGAAAATTATAGAATGAAATTTAACAGGAACAAATATATTTCTTCACTCAGGTGTATTTGATTTCTTCAACTTGGATTTAGAAATCAAGTAAGTCCTATGAAAAGAGATTTATAAACCGGAGACTTTAAGCCTTGAGAAGAAAAGACTAAGTAGGAAAGGGTAACATAATACTTTTCAATAGCTGAAAAAAATGCATAAAGCAGAAAATAAAAACTCAGAATACAAGATGTAGAATAATAATTTTAAACTTCTGGAAGGCAGATTTTAGTTGAAAATATTTCCTAACTGTTACGTCCTGAGAGTAATGAAGAGTGAGGAGGCTCATCTTGAACACAGCAGTCTTTTATCAGTAACAGCTTTTTCCAATCTGGCAATCTACGAGGCACGCAGTCTCTCTTAACAACTCAGAGACCCGGACCAAATGGCAACAAATACCAAGTGCTTTCGTGCCTTGCACATGCGCACAAGGCCGGCGTCATTCAGTCTGGTCCCGGGCAGCTTTTGCAATTGCCCAGGACCTTGCAACGTCCCGAGCCTGCTTTTGCAGGCGCAGGACACAACACTAACCAAATGAGCAGTTTGAGGATAGAACAAGTAAGGGGGTTATGGACTGCTCCCCACTGGAGATATTTTAATTTGGATCTCTGCACTGAGCAGAAATGAACTTCATCACCTAAGTGGCCTTTTCCAGCTTTGTGATTCTATTATTTAGGGAATTGCTACCCAATTCCCCATTTATTCAAAAACACTGATTTGTTTCTTGTTTTTTTTTTTAAATTCCATTTCCGTTGTCGCTAACTGTAAAAATTCTTTCTCTTTAAGTATGGACTTATTCAAAGACCATCCCTGCTTCCATGGAGGAAGCTCCATCAATTATGCCCAGGATAGCATTATCAATGCTCCTTGGGTGCATTTGCTCCTGGGATTTCATAAAAAGGTAGAATATCAGACAAACAGAAACTTAAGATTCAATAATGGTTTCAATATTAAAGAGGAAGAAAAGTTGCTAGCCTCTAGGATGGAAATGGGCTACCTAATTATCATTAAACTGTTATTTTTCAAGAAAAGAATGAAAAACAATGTACTCCATATCAGTTTCTACTAAATAGCATTAGATTGGAAAGCCAGTTTGATGTAGTGGTTAAGGTACATGCTAGAAACTGGAAGATTGTGAATTTTAATTCCATCTTAGGACAAAACCAAAAGGGCAAACCATTTCCAAAATCTCACCAAAAAATCTGCAGCAACTTGTCCAGGCAATTGCCAGCAGTTGCCAGCATTAGATTAATCAATCTAGTTTTAAAAAATTGCTTTAAAAAACTTCTTTCATTAAAATTTACATTGGGTTGCATCATAATGATGCAATTTTTTGAGACTCAAAGCAATAGGTCCAGTTTTTAATACCTATTCATAAAATGGCTGCCATAGCTCCATGGCTAATCATATGCTATCCAATTATCAGAAGGTGAACTAAACACCCACAATAATCAGTAAGAATCCAGACCAATGGTGGGATTCAGCCGGTTTGCACCACTTCGGTAGAACCGGTAGCTAATTTTTTGTTGCCCAGGCCCAGAATGGACTTCCAGAAGCAGCATCCACACAGAGAACCGGTTGTTCACATATTTAAATCACACCACTGATCCAGACTACCTTTCCCACGTATGGAAGCCTATTTACAAACCAAATATTAGGCTGCACTCATATACCACTTTTCATTTTCAAAAAATACCTCTTTGAAAATATATTCTACTTTTTAAAAATTATGTATATCACGGTTTGGAAACAAGTGTTTAAAAAGTAGAATAGGGCAAAAAAACTTAGCAGGAAGCATTTGTTGGACACACTGCACCTATCAGCACAATGCTAGAATGTCTATTCTATTACGCCAAATACCCAACTTAAATCTAAAGTTTTCATGATCCTTAACAAGACTTCAATCCTCTTCTTTCCAGAGCAATCTTCAAAAATAGGATTTTAAGACTTGAAGACCTTTCAGACTGTCATGGATTAAAGCATAGAGAAAGGGAAGACAACAATTTGCAAAGAGGAAGTGGCTGCATTCACAAGGCTTCTGTACCTCCCCTACATTCTTTGCCACATTACAGTAATACTGGGTATACTAGTACTTTAAAGTTTCAACCTACATCCAGCTGTACTACAGATAACATGTGTTATCTACAATGTCATCAATTTTTCAAAAGGGCAAGACAATATATTGTACTTATGAATATTACTTACTTCACATTAGAACATTATGTTAGCATATATAGAAAGTTGGATTCTCAACAATTCCATGGTACACACTGTTTTTTTGCTTCTGATTAAACTTGTGTACAGAATTCTAAAATTGTATGAAGTTATTCCTTTGGTATTTTTATTTATGTTTGTTTATTGACATGTTCTTAGCCATCATAGAAGTTGCATTCATGATAGGAAAACTAGAAATAGATAACGTAAGAAATAAGAATTTCAAGGTTAATTTTAGTTTCAACCTGAACTTGAGGCATACCCTTTCACTCTAACTATTCCCATTTCTACTGAATTGTTTCTAGAAGGCAATTTCTTGCTTTCTTGCTTATTCTTACACACTAGACCAGTGGTTCTCAACCTTTTTAATGCTGCGACCCCCAACCGGTCGTAAGTCGAGGACTACCCAATCGGTCGTAAGTCGAGGACTTTCCCTGCCCAGGAGTGCCACGCATGCGTGGTGCCACCCCCTGCGCCGGCCAAGGCATAGCTGGCAAGCGGCAGAGACAGAGCAGGTCAACCACCGTCTGGGCCACCAGCTGGCCCAGCCCAAGGGAGGTAAGGCACCTGCTGGAAAATGGGGAAAAAAATGGCGGACAGCCTTGCTTGGCGACCCCCGTGAAATGGTCGATCGACCCCAAATGGGGTCGCGACCCATAGGTTGAGAACCGCTGCACTAGACCAAATATGTCAAACTCACAACATCACATGACGTTGCGCAACTGTTTTGGGACTGTTTTGCCATTGCCGGCAATGGGGTGACGCGTCCGACCCGTGGGCCGGCAGTTTGACACCCCTGCACTAGACAGTACATTATTTTCTGGCTGTGGTTAACATAAATACAGCTGTCATTTAATTATTTGCTAGCAAACAAAGCATAGTTGTGGGTGAGAAAAACAGAACAGAGTGATTTATAAATTGGGCAATTGTTGACCAGAGGTAATTCATAGTTTATCTTCCTGGGCTCCAAGATCACCTCAGATGGGGACTGCAGCCAAGAAATTAAAAGATGCTTGCTCTTGGGGAGCAAGAGCTATGGCAAATCTAGCAAGAGCAAGAGCTATGGCAAATCTAGACAGCATACTTAAAAGCAGAGACAACACTCTGCCAATAAAAGTATGTATAGTCAAGGCCATGGTTTTCCCAGTTGCAATGTATGGCTGTGAAAGTTGGACCATAAGAAAGGCTGAGCACCAAAGAATTGAGGCCTCTGAACTATGGTGCTGGAGAAGACTCCTGCGAGTCCCCTGGATTGCAAGGTGATCAGATCAGCTGGTCCTAGAGGAGATCAACCCTGACTGTTCTTTAGAAAGCCAGATCCTGAAGTTGAAACTCAAGTACTTTGGCCACCTAATGAGAAGGAAGGACTCAATGGAGAAGAGCCTAATGCTAGGAAAGATTGAGGGCAATAGAAGAAGGGGACGACAGAGAATGAGGTGGCTAGATGGAGTCACTGAAGCAATAGGCATGAGCTTAAATGGACTCCAGAAGATGGTAGAAGACAGGAAGGCCTGGAGGAACATTGTCCATGGGGTCGCAATGGGTCGGACACAACTTCGCAACTAACAATAATTCTAATTCCTTTACTATGTTGGTGACTTCTGAATTAGTGGTTACATTTAATTAATTTCTCTATAAA